AAGCCGACTGAATGTTTTCCACTTGCATGTGTGTTATATTTGAAGACATTTTAGAAGTTCTATCTTGTACTGTTTTAGCAGACAAAGGCACATCTTTGATTTTCTTCATGATTTCGGTTTTCTTTTTGAAATCACGAAACAGTTCTTCAGCTCCAAGTATGAAACAATCTTTGACGTAATCACCATCTGTGAATGGTTTCCCTCTTTTTTGCAATTTGTAATGATATCGCGAAGCTTGCCAGATTGGCATTACTTGAAGATTGCGTCCAGTAGTTGAGCATAGAACTGGACTGTTGTTTTTGTTTTTGAAGAAGCTCTTTGACAGCTTTTTTCCGTGCCTCACCGGTTGGATATTGAACAGCGAATCGGGCATGTTTTGTAGTGAAGTGTCTCTCCAAATTTGACTTTTTATTGTGCGCAAGTTTTTCTTGGCAAATGAGACAAGACGGCAGACCATCTGTGTTGCATATGAACGCAAACGACACGGTCCAATCCTGATTAAATTCTCTATTTTCTTCTTCAATTCGTCTCTTCTTTCTATCAGATGCCATACTGGTGACGGGGTTGAAATAAAGAGTTTTAAAATGTTATTGTGCATCTAAAACGGCGTTAATAAATCATTAAGTAAATAGTTGATTTTGTATATTGCTAAAAAAAACTTTTATTAAATGCTAAAGCGTATAGAAAAGTATTGTACCTCCAGGCAGAATCGCTTTTTTAAAAATTTAAATCATCCTTAGAAGTATTTTTTGTCTTTCTATACAATGTTCACTGAATGTCACTGTAACAAAATAAATAAGTATACGAAAGAAATAAAATGTTCTTGTACCTATGGACGTTCGAAGGTACAAGAATATGAATGATTGTCCAGCGGTCCAACAAGGGTATTTTCAGAAACTTCCACGTGTAAAATAATTTGACATGATGAATATTCAAAACAGACAATACATTTAAAAAGCTGAACACATATAGTTTATAATATAATACTTATCATAACAGCGTGAAACAAACAGAATATGCAGTACATCATAACTATGAAAATATTTACCTCAAAACAATAACGCCAGATATTACATACACAATTGAATGAAGTGTGTCAATGTCAACAATATTTAATAGGAAGTACTTTGGAATAGGGAGGTTTTATTGTTTAAATTTATTATTATATCTTTCATTACAGAGTGTTGTAAAAGGCTTGCCGTCTGACATTCCCCATACCAAGCGACAATCAGCTGTCCGTAAACCGTATACTCTCAACTCCACCTATTCTCACTGTTCTGTGTTGAGTGTTTTTATCCTGTTTAAAGTATTTTCTGCAGTATACTATTTTTTTTAAAGAGTATAGAAATTGAAATAATTTAATGATTAATATTTGAGCATTGAACCCGAGAGCTGCACTTTGACATCAAAAGAGCCGCATGCGGCTCGCTAGCCGCAGGTTGCCGACCCCTGGCCTAGCCCGAAAGTTATCTATCGTACTCGTAGATCATTTCATAATGACAGTATGTGGACATCTAGGCCATATATAAGATAAAACGGTTGCTACATCAGATCGACCTATATAAGTTTAGCCTACACCCACCTGCTCGTGAATTTACGTCAGTTAATGCTATATCCACCAAACACTCACCAAAATTAGAGAACAGCCCGTCCAAAACCAGTTACACAACATTTCCACTGCTCACACACGATCAAGGTCAAGTACACAACCTACTAGCCAGGGCTTACATTATAAGCCATTGGATGAAACACGTACCATATAACATGGACATCACAACTTCGTCTAGATACTACATTGGCCAGGACATCCCGGCCAGTGCTCGCATTGGCCGGCCAATGTACAAAATACGATCTTAGTGCTAAGTTTTTCGGGCTTTGGCCAAGAGAGCCGGCCAATGCGCGGATTGGCCGGCCAATCCGCGCTTTGGCCGCACTTCGGGCTTTGGGAAGTTGTTGAGAATATTCCTGGGGAGGTTTCTGCGAAAAAAAAATTCAAATTCGCAGGGGTGGCGCCCCGGTAGGGCGCGATTTGTTAATCTCTATATACCGTATATAAAAATAATAAAAGTGAATTGCAGTGACACTGTTCACACGATCGCCATGAAACTTTAGGAAGTTGTTGAAAATATTCCTGAGGAGGTTTCTGCGAAAAACGAAATTTCAAATTCGCAGGGGTGGCGCCCCGATAGGGCGCGATTTGTTTTTTTTTCTATTTACGGTATATAAAACTAAAAGTCGATTTTGGTTTGGCATCGTTCATCCAATAGCCATGAGACTTTGGGGAGTTCATTATACCAATCTAGGGAAGGGTTCTGTAAAAAAATAATTTTTAATTTCGCAAGGGCGGCGCCACGGGAGGGTCCGATTTTTCTCCATTTACGGTATATAAAAATAATAAAAGTGAATTGCAGTGACATCGTTTATCCGATAGGCATGAAACTTTGGGGATTTCATTATAACACTCTAGGGAAGGGTACTGTAACAAATCATTTTTCTCTATATACGGTGTATAAAAATAAAAGTCGATTTTGGTGTGACACCGTTATCCGATAGCCATGAGACTTTGGGGGAATTGATTAGAACAATTCATTAAAGGGTTCTGTAAAAAAAAAACCTTTTTTTTATTTTCGCAAGGGTGGCGCCACGGGAGGCTGCGATTTTTCTCTATATACGGTTTATAAAATTTCGGTTTCACACCGTCCATCCGTGTACCATGAAAGTTTGGGGAGATGATTAGATCACTCAATGGTAGGGTTCTGCGGTTCATCCGAGTGCCATGAAACTTTAGGGAGTAGATGAGAATACTCCCGAGAATATTTCTGCGAAAAAGAAAACGAAAGTTTCTTATGGGCGGCGCAATATATGGTAAAACTTTCGTCAACACACGGTTTGGGCCCAGAGTTTTAGAGCGACGATGTTGGCACTTGGCATACGTTAATCGAGCGTCCTGCATGGCGAGTAAGGGGTACTGCTATATTCAGTGGTAAAACAACAACAGGCTTCTAAAAATAACTTTGTAACGCGAGGAAATCCTTCTGTACAGTTTCGTCACCTTGCGAAAGATGAAAAAAAAAATAACTTTTTAAATATGAGGAGCCTACTGTAGAGTTTCGTCACTTTGCGAATGATGCAATAAGCATCTCTTATTTGACAATCCAGTCAGAAATTGAGATCGAGCATCTAATAATAGACCATTAGTAACGCTAGCATATTGCATCAGTCACACTGATATTTAAAACTCGTCAATAATTTTTTTTTAAAATGACGCCTGTTAGTTTTAAGGACCCAGGGGTCGTACGCCGCGCCTATGCGGTAGTGTAATCGGGGGTGGGGGCCCCAGTGTTTCTTCCAGACTTTTTTCTTCGGGGGGGGGGGGGGGGCACTTGAAATCTTCGGGGGGGGGGGGGCGGTAAAATTTCTTCGGGGGGGCGGACACTGTTAAAAGTATATATTTTATATATAAATTATATACATTTCATTTCGTTCGGGGGGCGGTAAAAAATTTTCGGGGGGGGGGGGGCTTCGCCCCCCCGAAGAGATGCCTGAAAGAAACTCTGGGGGGGCCCTGAGAGCGCCCCTATACATCTGAAGGTTTCATGCGGTACTGGAGGTAAACCCGTGTCCTGATATTTATGATCCAAGCGCAAGCATTGTTTACATTTAAATAACTCATTTTTAGAAAAGAAGGTCACGCGTCTAAGAACATAATTATAATTGATAACGCGTTGTTAAAATCCTAATATATTTCGTCAAACTTTCTTCTATCCCCGCCGCAATGCGCGGGGGTCAGGTACGCTAGTATATATATATATATATATATATATATATATATATATATATATATATATATATATATATATATATATATATATATATATATATATATATATATATATATACATTTATTTCATGTAACACTATTTATTTTAGTAGACGCTGAACATTTTTTTTTTATTTCAGCTTCATGAAGGAAGATATATAATGAATATGAGTGTAATGACGCAAAGTTAAACAAAGATTAACAATTGATTAAATTAGATCCAAGATTATGGATTAGTTATAAGGTTACAGTTTAGTAGATCGTTTGGTAGTATAAAGTTATATCAGACAATGTAGTGGCAAAAGTCTATAGGAAAGTAGATGCCAGTAGAGTCAGAATTCCGAATTGATAGGTTATGTCTATGTTAATGAACATTTAAATTTGAACGGATTAAGCTATGTCCTTTAAATACTACAGCAAGACATACTACAGCAAGACACACTACAGCAAAACACACTACAACAAGACACACTACAGCAAGACATACTACAACAAGACACACTACAACAATATTAATTACAGCAAAACACACCAAAGCAAGAAACATCAGCAACAGCTGCACCTGTGGATGCAGCCACATGAACAACAAACAACAACAGCAGCATATCAACACATAACACCATAACAGAAAAACAAGGTCGCTTCAACGTCATATTTTAATAAAGTAATTGGTAACGAAGGAAACAACGAAACTACAGTGGAGAACAGGCAACAATATGACAAGATGTTTCTAAAGAATTCATCCCAGAAATTAATAAGCCAGTAAATAGTCGAAGCTAGTCAAGAGCGGAAATACTCCCCGCAGAGGCGTATCCAGGTTTTCAGTGTAGGGGGAGCGAAAAATAGCAAAAAAGGCGCCGAATTTGTAATATGTCCAATATACGTATATATATATATATATATATATATATATATATATATATATATATATATATATATATATATATATAATATAGGGCGTAGTCTGTTTTTGTCGTCCTCGTACAATTCACTTTATAATAGCATTATGTCTTCTAAAAATTGGAATGCATAAGACACGTGAATAAAGATATTTTTATTGCTTAATCAGTTGTACAAAACGGTATTCGTTTTAAATTAAAAAAGAAACAACAATAATTTAGTTAGGCCTATATTTGATAGCAATTTTGTTTTATCCTGTACTCTAGGACTTCTGTTAGAACTACAACATCCTTTTTCGTCGAGGTTTCAATATAGCAAAATGATCAATTACGTCTTTTAAATCAACATCAGAAGCTAATTGTCGTTCAATCGTAATCAGGGCTAAGCTGGACAACCTGTCTTCGTTCATAGTAGAACGGATGTATGTTTTCAGGAGTTTAAGACGGCTGAAGGATCTTTCTACTCCGGCACTGCTTATTGGTAAAGTCAGAAATATACGATACAAAGTGGCCAGGTTTGGATATTTGGAACACAAGTCATTAGCTATCATGAATTTCAGAATGCTGTTTACTGTCACCGCTATTTCTAGAGGTTCTTTTTCAGTTGAAACTCCCTTGTTTACACTGCTTACACTAAAAACCTCTTGGTAAAATGTTCTAAATGATACGAATTCCTGCACTATTTCGGTTACACTGTCAACAACATCCGAGTACGTCACTGCTAATTGCTCCAACTGTATTAAACTGTTATCTAATGCTAAATGTTTTGGGTCTAAGCAACAAAACTTGGAAGACACATCTTTAAAATTTTGAAACCTTGTGTTTGTACTAGTTATGACAGAGTCAAGTGACACTAAATAAGTTTGAACAATGAATTTTTTCCTAGAGTCAGATATCTGAGTATCCTCTGCTCGTTCGTCATGGAATATTTTCCGTTTGTATAACCTGTGTTGCTTATACTCCGTACGGATATCACATTTCTCAGCGAGCTCAGTGGCTTCGTTCTCAATCTGATCAAATTCTGATTCAAATTCATTTCTCCAGCTATTCATCTCATTTTCAAAAATCTGAATTAATCGAAAGGCTGTTAACATATCAATGCTACTCTTCTGTAAATAAATGGATACGTTTAAAGCCTTATGTAGAATTATTTTCCAAAACATCAAAACAACTAAAAACTCAAAGGTCTCTATTGTAACAAGAATTCCCTTTCCTTCGGCAATCTGTTTAGAAGTAGAGTTTTTAACTTCACCGTCAACTATTCTTCGCAATGCAAGAACTAGTGCTGGTAAATTCTGCAATATAGAATCTACTGCTGTCTTTCTAGAAGCCCATCTTGTATCACTAAGTCGTTTCAGTGTTAATGAAAATGCTTCTATGTTGTTGCGTTGCTCCTCTTGCAATATAGAAAGACGAGGTAGACTTCCGGTAAAAAATGTATATATGCTTTCCAGAACTCCAAAAAACAGCTGTGTTTGAATATTAGATGAAACAGCATCTATGAGAATTAAATTTAAATTATGAGCACAGCAGTGTGTGAAGAGTGCATGTGGAGCTATTTCTCTAACTCGTTTTTGTACGCCCGATATTTCACCAGACATGGTGTTTGCTCCATCGTAGGACTGACCATAGCACATGGTCATTGACAGCCCTAAGTCTGTGACTGCTGTAAGAAGCGTTTTAAAAAAAACCTCTGCACTAGCTTCAGGAAGCTCACAAAATTGGATAAATCTTCCGATGGCGTCTCCATGTTCAGTAACATATCTGATTGACAAAGAAAATTGATCCATTCTACTAATGTCGATAGTCGAATCTACAATTACAGCGAAATACCTAGCTATCTTAATTTCACCTACTATCTTCTTTAAAATTTGGGCTGATATAGACTTAATTAAGTCGTTTTGCATACCCGGACTTAAGTATGTTGCATTTCTGTCACCGAAAAGTAAATGTTGTTTTAGCAAATCATCTTTCTTAGAAATGAGTTTAATAAGTTCCAAAAAGTTGCCTTCATTTAATGTAGCTTCTCCTAAACCTTGGGATTCACGATGGCCCCTAAACGCCAATCCCTGTTTTCCCAAATAGAGAACTGCATCTATAATACTTTCCAGTATTATTCTGTTTTTTTTCTATTTCCTTCTTTTCTGATGTTAAAATGTCACATATTATGGTTCTGTCTTTGTAAAGTCGGAACATTGTAATTAAAAGTTCTCTCTCTGCAATCTTGTGACTTTCAGAGTTTTCATGTTTGTTAATTTTGTCGGGACCTTTTGCAAAGTTCTTACAACCCAATTTTGGATCGCCCCAAGTGTCTGACTTGTGCTTAAAAAGCCAACAAGCAAAACAAATCATATAATTTGCCTTGGGCGAATATACTAGCCAGTGTCGTATTATTTCACGACCACATTTTGTGTGGGTTTTTTTCTTGTACCAACTGGCACTAAAGTGCCGACCAGTTACATTTTTGGGAAAATCTTTATAAGTATCTTTGAGGCCTGGTTGACAAGGACCAAACTCAAGTAATGCACGTACCAGATCCGGTGTTACTGGTGTTTCACAAAACAAAAAAGGATCTGTAGGATATTCCAGATTTATATCGATTATAGCTTTAAGTTTGACTGGCATTGTACTGTCAATATCCTCTTCTAAATGGGTGTCTTCTAAAATGTCTATAGACATTACCTTATTGTCTTGAGTCTCGACGACTTGATTCTGCATATTAGATGATGTTGTTGCTTGTACATTTTGTACTTGGGTATCTTGAGACACATCAACCTCTGTAAATATTTTTTTAACAAATATCATTGTTTAAAACTTTGAGTTTAAAAAGTTTCCAAAAAGGCGCCACTTTGCTGAAAATGGCCAGAAAGCGGCCGCTCCCCGTGCTCCCCCCCTGCGTACGCCTCTGACTCCCCGCCCCCGCCCCCCCCCCCCTCCACAAACCTCAATCCAATCCAGACTCCTCTGCATGTGTGTATACAATTATTGCAATGAACTTAATTAAACAATAAAGAAATACACCAACATAAGGTTGATAAAACATGCACCTCTCGCACAATTCCAAGTATGCTCTGAGAAACACAACAACATAAAAGGCAATATAGAAAATAAAATACTTAAAAAAAACTTTTTAAAAAACCACGTTTTTCTTGTGGACTAAAAAGTAGAAAATAACTATTTACATACATTTGATGACAAAAAACGTGGGTACGTTCACCATCAAATTTCCCGACCCATCTGCCCGACCCACGTTTTTTGTCATCAAATGTATGTAAATAGTTATTTTCTACTTTTTAGTCCACAAGAAAAACGTGGTTTTTTAAAAAGTTTTTTTTAAGTATTTTATTTTCTCCTTTTTAGTCCGTTGCTACACATGAAAAACGTGGTTTTTAAAAAAGTTTTTTATATAGTTTATTTTCTACTTTATCTAATGACTTGATTAAGTATGAATTGACTAAGTGTTTATAAATACACGGACTAAAAAAATCTTGAGCGACCAGGATTCGAACCTGGGTTGTCGCGGCCACAACGAGAAGTACTAACCACTATACGATCACGGCCAGCGCGCTCACATCGATTGGGGCCGAAGTAACTGTGTCTATAAGCCTCCAGTCTTGTCGGTATCTTTAGAAATCATGTCCTCAATTTTATGGTCCTTGGGGCGTAATTAAATTAAGCTAATTACGGTCTCTAATTGCTAGTTTTTATGATTGCATCTGAAATTGTTAGGCGAAAGTAACCTGCATGCCAAATTTCAGAACTATAGAACAATCAGAAGTGGGCTAATTTTCGATGTCAATTTTAACAACAAACACATCCACGCGAAGCTGAGTTAATAAAAACGTGTTAACAAGCAAACATTAAAGTACATAAATACAATTACTGCAGTAAAACTTGCCCTCAAACAACCCGCATGGACCTACACCTAAAGATCAACACCCAATGACGAACCATTTTATATCACGGACCTCTAAAAGTATCCACCACAAACCAAAAAGCTAATTTGCATATTAAAAATATTCCAATCTAGACATTATGGTCTATCTATATACCGTAGTTTAAACCAGGGTTCTCCAAACTTTTCAGTCCGAGGGCCGCATTAACTATCGAATTTCAGTTCGGAGGCCAGTTTCTTCCAGGCATGTCTTTGATTATTCTAGGCAAAGTTACTCAGCCATCACCAACAGACGTTTTTCCCGTGGACAAAAAGATCTCTGCGGGCCGGATGAGAGGACCTCGCGGGACGCATTCGGCCCGCGGGCCGTAGTTTGGAGACCCCTGGTTAAACCAAAGAAAAGCCTATTGCAAGGGAGATAACTTTAAAAAATGAATTTAAAGAAAACAAAAATTTTGCAAAAACACACAGTTTTATCAAAGCTTTAAAAACATTGAATATACATGTTAATAATGAAAAACATAAAAAATAACTTTAGTTTAAATATTGATACAATTTTAATTTTAGTCAAAAAATGGTATTATAATTAATTTCAATTTTTAAAAAAATGTTATAAATACGTATTCGTTGTTGATATATGTAAGATCACTTACTCGATTTGTGGTCGGAACACTCAATTAGCAGCTTTCTTTGAATTTTGGATCCTTAGGGGATAATCCCGTCAAATCAACACAACACATATTGATGAAGCATGTCCTGATATTAAATGATGTCTAGTCACATCACACATGCTGATGTTCAAATAGGCAACTGATGATGTCTTAGTCAAATGAGCAGAGTGTTGTACTAAAACGTTTTTTAATATAACAGTACATGTCTTCAAAGCTGCTAAGATAGCTTTATTCTACGTATTATTACCATATAATAAGGTGGTTACAAAATGTCGTGTATATAGAATTGTATAAACTTAAGGAAAATGATGTGTACGCCTATTAAGTCATTAATGAAACATGTTGAATGATTGGTCAACTTCTTCGTGTGCTCAGTTGATCCAGGTAAACACAAACGTACCAAACTTATCAAACATGTGTCCATTTTAAAATCCAATGAAATCTTTCTACTAAAAAAATGCAATATATCTACAATATCTACAATAAATTATTGCTAAATCTAGCAACCCCCCCGCCATCAAAACCGTTTAGAAGAGAACAACATGGTGTAGAATACCTTTGGCGTAGCCAGGGGAGGGCGGATGGGGCGGCATCTAAGTAGGAACATGCATACATTTTCATTTATATAACAACGACCTAAGTGTGCATTAACATTTAGTTAACTGTTATTATCGTATGTTCCACATTATATTTATAAAAGATTTCTAGAATAGGGAGTTGTGTATATATCTAAACTGATGTAACTAAAATTGTCAGATTCTTGTAGTAACAATAAGTGTGTGTGCTTAAACACGTTAATTAAATAGTCAGATACTGGTAGTAACAATAATTGTGTGTTCTTAAACACATTCACTTGAATACATTAAAAACTAGCAAAGACTAATTTACAATACGCAATATGTTTCTAAGATCTAATACGTTAGAATCAAATTAAATTAGCTCCTTTAAGAGAATATTTATTGTTTATACTATTTTAACATTTTAAATTTAATTAAACCAGCTCCTTGAAGATAATATTTACTGCGTATACTAGTACAACATTTTAAATGTAATTAAAACATCTCTTTTAAGAGAATATGTATTGTTTATACTAGTATAACATTTTAAATCAAATTAAACCAGCACCTTTAAGACAATATGTATTGTTATTACTAGTATAAAATGTTAGCTATTAAAAAATGACACGCTCCTGAATGCAACCCACAACAACATATATAAAACATGTGTAGGTAAAATGAAATACACTTTTATTTAGGGGACTCTCAGATAACTTCAAGGCTATTCTCGGTTAGACCATTTACAATGGCACATTGATACAAAAAATACTGCTTGTGACTCTGTTTTTCGATATACGCCATTCATGAACCGACACTGTATCATAAACATGCACATTTTAAGTGTTTGTATAATCTGCCATGTTACAATTACATTCGTTTTTAATCTAACAACTAAATCAGTGTAAGACACAATACATGTTCATTCGATCTTTACCACTTAATTTTAGTAACGAAACAGAAAGCGTGGCCTAGCGGTAGAGCCAACTAAACATTCAAGTCCTAATACATTGGTACAAGCCTAGCCCATGGTTTAAATGTAACACCTGTCCATGTTGTCTAGATGTAGTACCTCTCTCTGTTATCGACATCAGGTCAGATTTTAAGATTACAGATTTTAAGATTACCTAGATATAATTATATTGTGTTTACAATGATAATACAGAATTCATAGTTTTTGTTGGGTACAAATATAATATGTTCAGTCGGATTGTAGGGTTAATAAATTAAATTTCACATTTGCCTTTAGTTCACCTCAATTTAAAATTAAACGTAACGGAGTTAATTTAGAGATGTAAGTGTAATAAAATGAAAAAAAAACGAAGCAAAGACATAAGTTCATTAGCCGATTCAATTGAAAAATTAAAACACAATTAAATATTAGTGTTGCTTAATTGAAAATAAAATGGCGTTTTAAACAGGTTGCAAATATAATTGTTTAACTTAGAAGAAACGGTAAATGCCATCGGTATTACAAACGCATGCACAAAAGTACGTAAATGTATTTGTTATAAGATAAGATCGCTTGTTATATTCACACAATCGGACAAACCTATATTTAAGAATAAAAACGACAAAAGGTATCTTTGTGATGAGTTCAAGTGTGAGAAATCTGCTTCAAAATTCCAGCAAAACTTGTAACACCACAACCGGATCAAGTCGTTTCGAATTTCGTTTGAAAAGACACGCCTAAAAATAGTATTAAAAAAAATAAAAAAATAAAAAAATAAAAAACTAAAGAAGCGATTTTTAAAAAAATAATAACACAATGTAAATTCGATCATTTTAAAACACGTTTGTATGAACAACTTTAGCGGAATAATTGATTTTGCAATACATTTTGGGCGACCCATTCGTTTAAAGTAAATTTAAGGGAAATAACCTTATTTTTAAGCTTCACAAAGTAAACAATCTGTAAAAAATGACAGTATTTTATAAACCATTTAAATGAATCAAAATTTATATTTTAAATTTTTAACTAAACATTATAAAATTTTTAAAATGAACTAGTATTCGCTAACAATGGTATTACTACCTGTAAATTTAACACACATAAACAGTAACATTACGGAAATGTATTTTTTATATGTTAGATCAATTTTTTAGAAATGCATCCTTTTATTTAAGGAAAAGAAATATTTTGGATCCCTCCATTTGGGGACACGACTTAAAGTAATAAAATACAGTGGTCCCATAACAAACGGGCGCTCTGACAAAAGATGCCCACTTTAGAGCTCTGTGTCTAAAAGGAACAATATTGCCTCACATATCACAGCCATCATTCTGTTATACAGAAAGTGCAAACACAAAATCAGGAGCAAGGAAAGGAAAAACACCTGCTGGAAAATTTAATGATAAACTTGAATTAAAATATGAAATGCAAGAATCTCAAACCCAAGGAGAGAAATAACCTTTAGAACGATTTCCAGACAATATTAACCCAATTACTGGCGAAGTGGGAGGAACAAGAGGCCCCGAACCTACTAGATCCAGTGATTGGGAGAGAAAGGGACGAGTCACAGACTTCTAATCATCATCTGTAAATATGTATTATACTCA